TTTTCACTTATGCTCTTTTGGCATCACAATGACAAATTAATTTTGTGAGACTATAAACTCTATGCTTAAGCTGCTACAATACCAGTCTTACTTTCGAAACCATTATTATGATGATGATGATGCTATTATAAATTTTAAATAAATTAAATTAAATGTGTTAAGCATTTTTATTAATGGCTAATATTAACTATATCTATTAAAAATAATACCCATGAAGATAAAATGTTTTTTAGATATTGTTTTATTGAGAAAAGACAGAAATAAACACCACTACAGTCAAATACCAAATGAAAGAAAAAGGATTTCTGAGTCAGAGGATTGCGCATTGTTCTGGTTAATAAATTAATGCTTTGAAAATAGCTAACAGTTATCAACCAATGGGTCACATTCCAATTTGTCTTCTTACATACTGTCTTCATCAGAACTAAACACATTAAATTTACTTTAATCACTGAAAAATATGCTGGACCACTGTTCCTCTGACAACATGTGCTTGTTTGCAAATTCTAGTCTTGCTGCCTTGTTCTTTTTCTTTATTAGCAGCTTGTTCTGTGAACACCTAGCATAAAGCCCTATTTCTTGCAAGCATCTAGACACAGTTTGTTGAGACACATTAACTTCATTTGAAATTTCTTGTGAAATGCCTGCCGCAATTTGAAAAGTGTTTTTCAGTGCTAGGTGTTGAATGATCCTGTCTTCTTTAGCCGTTGTTTTCCTTGGTCTACTCACCTTGTTAGAACAGGTTAAGCAACCAGTGTTTTCTTCAGCAATATGGTCAATTGTGTGATTTTCCTTTTGCAGTTTGACAACATCAGCTCTTGGAGACTTGTCAACTTTTCGTTGATTTGCCATATTGGAAAATGATGTAGTGATGATAAACAATCTTTATCTTAACCTCACTTATCAGAAATTCGAATTGTGTGTGTTATTCTCACATATTTCCCTGATTTGTTCCTTAATTTCAGACACTTGATATTTGAATAAAGAATTATATGAATTGTAGCTCTCTGTATCATTCCAAATAACTTACAGATTTAAAGCACAACTGAAATGCCATTTGTCTACATTTACTGAAAATTTCAGAAAAATTGAACTTATATTTTTTGAGATATCAAAGTTTTAATTTTTATTCATTAATTTTGGATGCCACTATATATATATATATATATATATATATATAATAAAAAGGCTTAAACACTAAAGCCTTTTTATTATATCCTTACTCTGTCCTAGACATTGAGTTCTACCTGGATTCTTCCTCTTGGAATTTTTATTCTAAAATATACATGTATGGGTATTTATATATTTTGCATATGTATGTATATTTTCCACTAATATCTCTCTCTCTCTCTCTCTATATATATATATATATATATGCATACACAAACACTTTATAAATCAGGAGATCAGTTGAATCTGCAAGTTCTGACCATTAACCTTTTATGTATTATATATATATATATAAAAACAGTGGAATTGTTCAGCATTGATTCTGGTTTCAGTGGAGGTTCACAGTGAGAACTTGATGCTCTAGACTTTTTGGCATATTGTCTGTTCACTGTTCTTTGTTTGACTGGAATCATGAACTGGGATGGGTCATGTTGATACTGGGACTGAATCATATGAACTTACATAGACAATATTAAAGCAAACATTAAGTGGAAAGGTGGCAGCTTCATCCAGAGTTAGAATAGAGACATCCTCATCTGGGAACAAGCAAAGACTCTTCATACCAATACACTTGGTGTAATTTATCATTCCAGTTTTATCCAAAGATGTAACAGCCTGTAGAAGATCTTGTGAACAGGTTGAAGACTGATGGAACCTATGTATGTCTGTGTGTATTTGGTTTGAAATAAAAACCTCTTCTTGTAAGGATTGTTAATAGATCAAATCCATAACTTAATAATCAACATTACCCATCCTGGTTCATGATTCCAGTTTTTCACACATTTACATTTAGAAAGGAGAACACTTGTAAGCATAATAGAAAAAATAATAAAAAAATAAACGAAAGTACTGTAGTTCAATGAAACTTAAAGAAGGATTGATGTTCAAATACACTACATACATAGATATGAATAAAGAATTTATTCATAGTTTTTTTACAGAAATATTTTATGTACATCTGAATTTTTATACACACGCACACACACACATTATCAATATAAACTGATAATATCTATTAATATTCGTTTATAAAGTAAAGCTTTTGTGTTCATTGCAGTCTCAATATCAAAAAATGTTCACTTATAACCACCCCAGAAATAAAAATAAGTGTGCATTATTTCTAACGTGTAGGTTTAAAAATTTAAGTAAGTTCAACTGTATAAAAAGATTTTTTTTGCATGTCGCAGATAATACTGGCATTATCGTGACAGTGAAAATGTCATATGGAAAATTTAAAATGTATTGTAGCTTCATTATCTTATTGGTTTTCTTGACTGATTTTATCGAATTAAATTTGAAGAACTCATTTAGTTTCAATCAATTTTTTTCTTTGTAAGCAATTGCCTGTGGTTCCGAATGCTAAAAAAAACAAAACAATTCTGTTAGTGTTAGTGAGTGAGTGTTAGTGTTAACTAACAGTTAAGTTGAACTGTTTTTACTTTTTAACAATGTTACATTTTTTAACATGTCAAGAATTTATCTTTGAAAGAATAAAAATACAATATCGCAGTTTTGAAATAGAAATAAAGGAGACAACGAAACCAGAAAAGAATAATAATAATTAATACCTTTTAAAAACAGAAAAAAAGATTCTGAAATCCGATCGTTTTTTTTTCTTTTTTTGTTTTGTTTCGGAGATGACTGACTTTGTCCCCGTCTTCTCTTCCAAAAATAAAATAAAATAAGTGGAAACGCTAAAGTTCTCTGTAGTGAAGTTAATTATGATATCAATCATGTCATTAACCTATTTTTATAGATACTATTAGTAGAAAAAGATGTTAATTTGCATTTAGTCACTATGCAAACAAAATATTATTCACTGTCTTATGAATTTTAAAAAATTTGCTATCACCAAAATGCGTACGCACTTACCATAATGAAAGCAAATCGCTAGAGCCCAGTTTCAAAAATTTGTCAAAGACCAGGTAATTATCCAATTTGAATTAAATTCTTATGTTGAATTAGTTGAATAGGTCATTATTTTGGAAGGCTTTGTGGAAATATTTAAAAAAAAATTATCATCCAATTAAGAATTTTATCAGGTAAAAAAGTTAAATGTTTTTTTAGAAGCCCTAAAGAAACAATTCTCCAAGAATAAAAAAATAAAATAAAAAAATATTGCAACATTTTCTTGTAAGATTCAGAAATTAAATCAAAAAGACTAATTTAAATATGGAGAAATTAGAAATTTTAATCACTTGTTTATGCGAATTAATAGTAATTAAAAACTTTTGACAGTAAAAAAAAGTTTGAAAAATTTAGATTGCAAATTGTTTAAGAGAAATTGCTGTTTTTAGAGTTTCCATTTTTAATTAGTTGCTTTGCTTGTAATTAAGGAATGAAGTGTTTCTAAAACTAAAAAGTAATTTTATCGTCAGCTGGTCAGCCGATTTTTGACAACTTTACGAATTAAATAATTACAATGAAAAAAATTAAATATTTTTCTAACTCTAAGTCAGTCGCATAAAAAAGTAATTTACATTGGAAAAATAAATGAAAACAAAGATTTGTATTGAATTGAGTGATTGATTATTTAATGTTTTTTAAGAAAGTAGTAAAGTCTTATTGACAGTTGACTTAATCAATAACACACACACACACATTAACCAACCATATGTATGTTAAAATAAAAAAATATAATTTTATTTATTATATGAACAAAAAAAAAATCGCAGAAAAAATAAAACGAATATTTTCATATTTTTTAAAATTAAAAAATTAAAATGTAGTTTAGAATCTAAACCAAATTAATTTTTAAATTTAAAAAAATATGAAAATAAACTTTAGATTTGTTGATCATTTTGTTTTTAAATTTTAATTTTAAAGTTTCTCACGTGTAACAAATGAAAACAATGCAATAATTATTGCCTTAAAAATTACAATTAATAATTCTTATCAATTATGATTAAAAAAATAAATAAAAGCAAAAAAGTCTATTGTTTCTTATCTTTCATAAAAAATTAAAAAAAAAATGTTCAGCGAAAAAGCAAATCTATTTTTGAAGATGTTCTCACCAAAAAAAACTAATTTAATTTTTTTTATTGACTTTGGCCTAAGACTTTTAAAATTTTGTTTCAGTCAGATATTTTACAATTAAATAGACAAAAAAAACATTAATCTCTGAGGACAACATTGGCTGATGATTCTTTCGCAGACGTTTCTTTCCTGAGTCATGGATTTTTTTTTTTCGGAGCAGTTCCTGGAAGAAAACATTTTGAAAATTTCCGAGATTTGGAGTTAGACAAAAAACTGAAATTATTTTGAAGGAAAAAGTTAACATTTCTATCTTAGAAAGTTTCACTTCTTTCCTTTAATTATTAATTTATTACCAATTTGAATTTTTATTTGATTTTTTTTTTGTATTAATTTTAACTTGAAAGAGAAAGAAAGAGAGAGAGAGGGAAGAAAAAGAGAGAGTGAAGTTTAGGTTTTTATTTAATCATACATTTTTTTTCCATGGGGAAGAGGTTAAAATACGTTATGGTAATTATTTTTCATTGATTGATCTAAATTTTTAAATCAAATCTAATTTGTTTGGTTTAATTAGGAAAAGACGAAAATCAATTTCGTGTCAGTTAAAAAAAAATTTATTGCCTAGTAACATTGAATTGAATTTCATTCTGCGAAAGAGAAAAAAAGAGTTTATGGAGGAAGTGTTTATTTTATTTTAAACAACTGGCGTGATTATTTACTGTCATATCTGTATAAATCAAAAACACCGTTACAAAAAAAAAAAAAACAAACAAAAAAAAAAAACAAACAAAAAAAAAACAAAAGTGAGAAAAAAAAAAGGTCGTACTTTTTGACGTTGTTGATATTATTATTTTGCCATGAAGATAAGCAAACAGCATCGTCTGTTGTTAGCCGCACCACGTGACCACCAGTCTGACGGTTGGACTGACGGCGTGCTGGAATAAAAGCAAGGACGACGTTTAAAAGGTAAGAAAAACAAAATAGATTACTTATCATTTCACTTATCTTAGCATTCTCTATATACACAAAACACAAATCTTATGTTTCTTTAGAATTTAAATTGCTTCGGTATTTGCATTACTTTAAAATATACTTATCTGTGCGATGTACTCTCTTCCTCATCCATCAGTTGTTTATAGATGGTCACGAAGTTGGGGATCAATGCGACAGTTCAATCAATTACGAACTGATCACCCATTTTATAACCGTCTTTTGCATCCCGCGATACACGGGCTAACAAATTGCACGCTCGGCTTCATAAAAATGTATTTCGTATAAAAAAACTTCGAGTACATTCTTTGTATCAGTTATAGACATTAATGTTCAGACATTATTATACACTAGTATTTAGTTTGCCTTGACATTATTTCTGAGAGAAAGACATTGGCTTTAAAAAAAAGTCCGCTCAGGTTTGGATGCTCTTTTAATTTTTCATGTGTCTTCTTCTTCTTCCTCATCTAAAAGCGGCCATAAAGTGGGTGATCGATTTTTAATAGCCTCGTAATTGCAAACTGGTACCCCCTTAAGTGAAACATGCGTGCCAATACGTACTGCCCACAATTACTGATGTAGTAGGAAATGTTTCCCTCTTAAGTGGCCGTTAAGTGGGGGATTGCTTTGAAATAACGTTACTTTGTGAATCGTCATCTTTTTATATGTATTTCGCCTTTAATTTCCTTGTTTATTTCACTTAGTTTTACTCGCACTATTTCCCTTCTACTCTTTAGTTTGTTCTTTTTTATTTCTCTCTAGTCATTTCTAGTCTAATTCTTCTCTCCATTGTTTTGTTGCTTGAATAGAAAGTAAATGAAATTATCAGTAAAAAAAAAAATAACAAAAAATAGCTAATTGAAATCACTGTCATTAACTTGGTGACAATTTAAAAACTTTAAAGATTGAATAAAAAATAGTCATTCAAAAATTAATTTCTCGTTGCAATTTTTATTGAAAAAAAGAGTAAAAAAAACTAATTAAACAACAAAAGCTAAAAATTGCTCGATGAAGCTGTTTCTCTCCGCTTGCCTGCAGTACGTTTTATGACAAAGCAGTCATGTGAACAATTCTATTTCGGCTTAAATATCAGTTGTTTTCTGCGACAAGATAATCTTTTAACGACACTTTCATGAAAATTAGGTTTTCTTCTTTCTTGCCAAATGCAGGAAACGTAAACATATTTCCTTATTTTTTATTGTAAACGTTTTATTTTCAATGTCGAATGATGTTTAAGCTTTTTTTAAAAAAACATTTATTTGCAATATAAATCTTGATTACCAAATTCCAACAAGTGAAAAAAAAGTCTATTTTATTTGGGGGGGGGAGAGGTGGGGTCTTCCTAAAAAGAAAAAAAAAGACAGCAACATAAATTAGTAGTTTATTTTGTTGTCAGAAGGTATATAATTTGATTCATTAACTTACTTTTACTTACCTACCCAACATTTCATTACCCCCTTTTATCTTTCATCGTAACGCCTGACAGAATTACATTTTTTAATCTTGCTTCATATTATAATTACCCCCCCCAAAAAAAAAACAACTTTTTATTAGTCAGTTTTAATTAAAATAAAAAACCGAATTTTATTCTGAAAATAAATGACTTTTTCAGTTAAAATGACAATTGTTATCTTGGGCGTAAGATGTATTTTTTTAGTTTTTGCCAAAAACATGTGATAAAAAATGAAATCGTTGTGTAAAATCTTCTGACAGAAAGGAAATAGTTTCTTTCTAGAACCCTGCCACTTTTTAAAAAGTGAATCTGCTTTATTACTAAAATTCTTCGATTTAATTCATCTTAGTTTCTAATAAAATAATAATACGCAATAAAGTTTCGAAGAGAATGAATGGTGTAACAAAAATTTTTTTAAAAGTAAAACAAAAAATGTGATATTTTCTTTTAATTTTTGACTTTAAAATTTAATTTCATTGATTTAAGAAACGTTACAGACTCGCTTGATTTTCTTGTGAGGCAGAAGAATGGACTTGTTCTTTAATTAATTTTTTTTATTATTAAATCGTTATTGCTTGACAATACTGAGTTCAGAGATGTTGATAAATTTATTTGCAACTACTAAATGTTGTAGAATTTGTAGAGGAAATTAATTTTGTCACAGAAAATGTCTTTGATAAATTGTAGTTAAATGTTTACACAGAAAAGAAGTAAAAAAAAAAACAAGCTTTGATTATTATTATAACTGCAAATATTTTTTAACATTTTTATTTTTGTGTGTTAGTGTTTAGTGTTATTGTTTTGTTTTAATTTTATTTCCCAAAAGTTTCAAATCGTCACAAGTTTCGTTTTCTTTTCTTCTTCCTCTAGTTGCCATAAAAAAATGTTTCGATTTTTGTATGTTTTTTTACATTTCCTAAAAAGTCCTTCATTCCTTTTCTTCTTTTTTTTCCACCCAAATACGCATCTATTGTATTTTTACGATTGACTTTCGTCGGTAATTGATTTCCAGTGAATTCCATTTGAAAAGTAAAAGTATTTGCCTTTTAAAAATAAAATAAAACCTAAAATAAGCTTGTAGGAACCAACTTAATTTGAACTTGAAACACCCCTTGAATTTATTCACTGTTTACATTTTTAAATCAATTTGATTTTTTTTTTCATACGACTTAAGCTTTGTTGAAAAATGATTTGACAATGTTATTTTTATATATATATATATATATTATATTATATTTTAATGAATACTTTTTACAAAATCTCATAAAACGGAAAAAGAAAATTAGTGAAAAATTAGAAACCGTCTTTTTTTATGGAATTTTGGGTCTACTTTAAATGGATTATTATCATTAAATGCTAAAAATAGAGAGGATAACTTTTTTTTTTTTTTTTATAGCAATTTTCAAAGAATCTTTTCGTCAAAATTTGTGTAACTGTTTCACCGAGATATATATAGAGAAAAAAATAATCATCTTGAAATAACATCTGCAATTAATCAGAAACAACCCTTATCTTTTTTGCTTGGCACTGAATAATGAAAAGTTTAAAAAAAAAATGAGTTCCTTAAATAAACTAAACAATAAAAAAAGTCTATAGTTTTTGTTTTTTTTTTAATTTTTTTTTAATTTTATTTTTCTTAAGAGCAAACAAAATTTTTGAAGAATACATGCCATTGGCATTAACAAACAGAAATAATATCAAATTCTTTGTGTGCATTACGATCATTTTTGGTATGAAAACAATGGAGATATTTGTTGTGTCGTAGAAAAACGATTTTGGACAATTTTTGTTTTAAGACAACCCATTTTCCGATTTATCTTTGGAAATTCGTTGGAAAAAGTTATTTAATCTGTCTACTACTCTTTTTAATAACTGACAGCAATGAGGTGAATCCCTTCCCCATGAAACATTGCATGGAATTAGGCAAAGAAATCGGCATCTACTTTCAGATTTCCGTTAATAACTCAAAAACCGAATCTTTAAGAAATGTTTTACTCGCAACAAAAATCATTTTCAACGATTAAAAAAAATATTAAAATTAAAAAAAGCGTTGTTTATTACGCAATATGAAACATTGAAATAATAATGCCAACGACGATAAAGTTTTAAAATTTAAATGATGTAGTAAAAATAAAATTAAACAAATTTGAAAATATTTCATTTCAAATTAAGAACATTAGCTTTTTTTTTTTTTTTTTTTATTTTTAGTTTAGTACTTTACTACACCCACTGATTCTATCCATTTCTTGTGACTGGAAATACTTTCAAACAAAAACAAATACCACTGGCACTAACCCAAACAGTTATCGTTTTCTCTCTCTTCTTATTTAAAGAACAAGAATGGATAATAATAATGGAATATTTCTTTTAGAAAAGAATTTATTACTTTTTTTTAGTTTTTTTTCTTCTTCGAAAACTAACATTAAACGTAAACAAAGTTTTTTTTTTTTTTTCACCAGTAATCATTGATTTTTTTTTTTCTACACTGGTAAGTTTTTAGTAGTAACGTGTATCCTATCATTCCTTGATCACTTTTTTCGCAATTTCTACACACGCTTTTATTTATTTATTTTAAAAGACTTTACTCAAAGTTGTTGTTTTTTTTTTTAAGTAAAATACCCTCTCACGTGGCTAATGGTACCATCTTTCTTTCAAGTTCTCATGATGATGATTTTTTTTTTTTCTTAAAAAATAGATTTCTGTTTTTTGTTTTATTTTTCTAACATTAAAGATTGAATTGAACGGATGGATAACACTAACTTTTTTAATTTTATTTTAAAATTAGTCAAACGATTGAAGAGAGAGTTCGTCTGTCTCACTAATCAGCTGATCTTAAGAAATGTAAACAAAAAATAGGTTTTAAGCCGAAGCGGAATGCTGAATATTGTTAAGAAAAAAAACTTATTTCAAACGCATATGTAAGAGAAAAAACGGTTTAAAATTTATTTAAAATCCATTGTATTTGAATTTCATAAATTCAGTTTTAAACAGCTTTTCAGTTAATTTTTTTTACGTCTTCAGTCTATTTCCTTCTTAAAAACTTGGTATATGCAACTGAATAATTTATGAAAGATTGAAGTTATTTCTCATTGCCTTTTTTCTTTTTTAGTTATTGCTTCAAAATCATTTAATAAATTCCAGTGTTTTGTACAGTATACACCCCACTTTTTTTTTTTTAAATACTTTTGAAAAGTGAAAAAAACCGTATACAAAAAGTTTCGAGTAAATTAAGAAGCCAGTAAATAGAAAAAGTCCAATTTGAAAAATTGGAAAACTAGTAGGAAACAAAATTTACCTATTATTCTTCCTAAAACAAATGTTTTGGAAAGAATTCAACTGAAATGAATTTGGCTTTTAATCAAATGTTGAAATGTCTGTAATGTTCGTTTATCATTTTCTCTGCTACTAAATTCTTTTTTTGCTTTCAAAAGTTAGTAATTGTTTTTTAGTAGATAATCTTTTTTTTCTTTTTTTTTTTTTGTATAAAATTGAATTTGCACTGTATATCGATACTTAAACAATT